CTCTGCCTCCCGAGTGCTGGGATTAAAGGCATGCGCCACCACACCCGGCTTATCTTATATATTTTTAATTTTGGTATTTAGAAAATATTGTAGGAGCTTTCTATACATTCTAGGTATTAATCCTTTATCACATATATGATTTGAAAATTTTCCCTTCTTTAATGGATTGTGTTTTTACTATGTTGCTAGTATTTTTGTGTGCATATAGGGGTGGGGATTACCCGGGATGGAACTTAGGGGTTTTTGTATGCTAGGCAAGCACTCTACCACTCAGCTACACCTCCAACTTGTTAATAACTTTTGATGCACAAAAAGTGTTTGTCCTTTGTGTCTTTTGTGCCATAAACAAGAGCTCTTTGTCAAATCTGAAATCATAAAGCTTTTAATTATATTTTCTTCTAAGATTTCTATAGTTTTAGTTCTTATATTTAGATTTTTTAAATCCAGTTTGAGTTATTTGTATATGGGTATATGGTGTTTAGTAAGGGTCCAGCTTTATTGTTTTGTATGTGGATTCATTGTTTTCTCAAAGCATTTTTTGAAAATACTGTCCTTCTCCATTAGATGGTGTTGGCATCCTTGTCAAAAATTGTTTGACCGTGTATCAGAAGGTTAATTTGAGGCACTCTATTCTATTTCATTGGTTTAGGTGCCTGTTTTAATATGGAGATCACACTGTTTTGATTGGTATGGTTTTTGTTTTTTGAGACACTATCTTCTTGTGGCCCCAACTTGTCTGGAACTTGCTATGTAGACCAGGCTGGCCTTGAACTCACAGGGATCCACCTGTCTCTGCTTCCCAAGTGCTGGTACTAAAGGCGTGTGCCACCAGGCCCACCATGATCACTATAGTTTTATACTATGAAGTCTGAGACTTCTGGCTTGTTTCAAGACTAGCTTGGCTATTCAGAGGCAATTTCAGATTCTATGCGAAATTTAAGATGGATTTTTTTTCTATTTCTGTGAAATTATTATTGGGGTTTTGATAGAGATCACATTAAACCTTTTATTACTTTGGATTGTATTGGCATTTTAGCAATATATGTCTTTTAATCCACGATTGCAAGATGTCTTTCCACTTCTGTATTTCTTTAATTTCTTTCAGTAATGTTTTATAGCCATTACTATACAAATCTTTCATCTTCTTATTGTTAGTAAGTATTTTATTCTTCTTGATGCTTATAAGTGAGGCTTCTTAATTTCCTTTTTGGACTGGTCATTGTTAATGTACAGAAATGAAGATAATTTTTTGTGTGTTCGTTTAGTGTCTTGAAACTTTGTTCTATTTGGTTGTTCGTTTTAGCTCTCTCTTTTTCTCTCTGTGTTATAGAATCTTTGTGTTTTTCTATATATGAGATGATATTACCCACAAACATAATCTTACTTCTTTTCCCCCCAAGTTTGTAAAGCCTATTAAAAAATCTGTTTACTAATATTACTACAGTTTCTTTTCCCTTCTTTTCTTTTTCTTCTCTTCATTTCGTGATGTTGGGACTCAAACCCATGGCCTTGTGTATGCCAGGAAACACTTTACCACTGATTTATACCCGTAGCCACTACTACACATGTCTATTCAGGAAATGAGAAGAGTTTGAACAGGGATGGGAATGTTGGGAAATAGATTTGTGAAGTTAGAACAAATGGAATGTATTGGATGTGGGTTGTGGGAGAAAGAAAGGCATAAAGGACAACTTCTGGGTTATGGCTGGATTAACCGGATGGTTTACTGTGGTACTATTGGCTTAGATGGGGAAGAAGGAGGAAGGTGTGCTTAGGATAAGAAAGAAAAACTCAATTTGGGCCATATTAAAGTTGGTCATGGTTGAGGATAAGGCAGACAGATGTAATAGAGAAGGAAACCAAGAAGTCAGAAGACAAATCTTTGGGGAGAGTTCACACCTGGAAAATTAATGGAAAAATAGGAACGTGAAAAGGAGGCAAAGGAAAACCAGTGTGAGGGATGGAAAAATCCAGGTAGAATGAGAACATTTCAGAAAGTCTCCAACGTTAGCTTTGCAAACAAGAGGGGAAGCAAAGTGAGGATGGAGAAAGGCCATCTCACACAGTTGAGGATGGAGAAAGGATATGTCATATAACACGGAAGAGGTCATTGGTGACCTTCACAGAGAATTTTTAGCAGACTGAGTAAGGCTTGTGCCTGAGTGTGAGGGAAGCCAGAGCTGGTGAAGAGTATCCAAGGCACTTGGAAGAGCTGGGTGTGAGCAGCTCTGCTGATGTAGAGAGAAACTGGTTGGGAGAAATAAAAGGCACTTGAAATCCTTGACTGCAGCCAATCATGTCCCATTGAGGTCTTGTGAAAGATGCTGCTAAAAAAAAATTAAACACAAACAAAAAGATTCCAGTCATCGGAGGGCAGGGCAATGCCAGGGCCCCTTGACGCAGAGTAGTTCGCTGGAGCTCCTCCCCTCTGAGGAAGGAAGCCAGCACCAACTTGAGCATCTGTAAAGGACAAATGACCTACTGACCAAAGTTCCTCCTTTCCTTGCTATTGGCTGATACTGTTCATAAAACAGAATTAGCTGTTTCATTTTTGTTTTAAGTGAACAAATTGAATTACATGGGGAGGGAGCCAGGAGTCACAGAGGAGCCAGAAACCAGGGCAGCTGAAGGCAGAAACCTACAGGTAGGCTTTCACTTTTATTAGTTGTGTGCCTTGATGATCACGTCATAGAGGAATGATTGCTGAAAAGCACTTTTGTTTTGTTCAACTATCAGTGTTATCTCTACCATATACGTGGAGTGTTATCTCTACCATATACGTGGTAAATTTTTAAAAAATATTGAAAAGTACAAAAAAATAGAAAAAAAGACAATTGAGGCAAGATAGCCTCAATTGGCAATTTGAGGTATTTTTTGGTGTGTGTGTGTGTGTGTGTGTGTGTGTGTAATTTTAATTTATTTTCATAGTTGTATCTATATGATATGAGCAAATTATATCCATTTCTTCTTTTACAGCTAATGTTTTGTCTGTATTGTCACGAATTCTGCATAATCATAATTTTAAATCGCTGTATAACATTGCACTGAAATTTACTCTTTTTTGTGCCACAGAGCACCTTTCTTATTTCTCATAGATTGGGTCATTTAATTCCATAATACATATTTTTTTTTCTACTCAGAGTCTTGCTTTTTGAAGAGAGGAGATTAAATTTGAGAAAGTGTATTTCAGTGGTTTTGTTCAGGGACACGATGAGTAAGAATGTGTGTACAAGGGTGTGTACTTGGAATCAGTCCCCTTCTGGGCCCCCATCCATGTTCCTCAACTCTGGCTGCATAACTAAAAACGGACTTTTGGGCACTAATCAGTCACTGGAATGTTTTGCTCTCCCCAAACTTCCCTTGTAAGTTTAATGAGTGCTCAGTACAAAAACATCATAGGCTATTTGAAATATTTTCTTGTCTCTGACACACATACCTGAGAGTTATACATTTTAAGAGATGAGGAGATACAATTACAAATGAGCCACTCACTCCTCCCTTTCGATATTATATAAATAATTCAAATTATAGAGCTAATTTGTGGGGCGCATAAGAATTTTAGCAATTTCTGTCATACCTCAACCACTTAAGCTCCCTAGATGAGGATCTAATTGAGTACTTCAGTTTGCTAATGTTTGAAGGAGGTCAATTTGTTTTCATTGCTTGTGAAGTCAGGAGCTAAAGAAGTTGAGGCTCTAGGAGGTTTTAAATATGTTAATGTTAAGCACAATGTGTGTTAGTACCTGCTAAGGCACAGATGTTCTTTCTTCTATACCCTTTACAAGATCAAACAGGAGATGGACATTTAGTACCTGGCTAGGCAGAAACATACCACAGGTAGAGCAAAGACAGTTGAGACGGGGTCTAATGGCTTACTGGCTTTGCAGGAACAAAGATCTTTGTATCCCATGTCCTTCTAAGGAAAGTCGACTGGATTTATATCGAGCTTTGTTCTGGTTTCTCCACTCAGAAATAGGAGACAGACAAAAGGAAGCTAACCCAGGCCGAAGACTCTCTGGCTGCATCTGAGCCTACAGTGAGAATATTCTTGACCTTAACTTGATCAATGGTATGTCAAACCAAATTTCTTCTTATTTTTATTCAGTGGGAAAGAGTACTTGTTTAACATCTTTGATGAGCATAAGCATTTATGTAGTACTTTACTGTACAGAAACATTTTTACATACATCTGCTCATTTGACCCATGCAGTAGTCTTTTTTTTTTTTTTTTTGAGACAGAGTCTCAGTATGTAGCTCTGGCTGACCTGGAACTCAATGTGTAGACCAGGCTGGGCTTGACCTCAAAGAGGTCTGCCTGACCCCACCTCCCAGGTACTGGGACTACAGGCACAACCACACCTGGCACTAATTTTTATTTTTAAGATGACAAAGATGAAGCCCAGAGATCGTAGGATATTTCTCAAGGTAGAACCAATCCAATGAGCACAAGACACATGGTTCTTTCCTTACAACCTGAATCATAAATGTTGTATAAAATTGAGTCAGTGAATTTTGCTGTATCCGTATAATTAGTCATTAGTCAGTTAAAGGATGACATTGATACTTATCACTTGGCTAAGAAAGATCATTACTCAGTGACAAGAAAAAACAGGGTACAAAATAAAATTGTAATATGCACCCTTTTATGTTTAAAATAATTATGCCTATTTGGAGAAAGATAAAAAGCAGCATATGCATAAGATTTTAGATATGCCTGATTAATAAAATTTTAATTTAAATATATTTCAGCTTATATTACCTTGTTATTTATTTCTTAACCATAACACATATTATGTGCAACAAAATGAAGAGTAAATTAGATAGGATTGTCTATGTCTGTCTGATTGCATTTTCTCCAGGTGAAATGGCCCCCTCTTCTTTTTTTAGTTGGTTACAAAGAAGCCTGGATCTCAGTTTTCTGAGTTTGGAATGTGGTTGCATACACTGTGTTGTTATCATGGCCAGAACTGACTGAGCACTTAGTGCGTTAGGGACTAAGCCAATTAGTTCATTTCCATTTTCTTCATTCATTCTTACTCCCTTGGAAGAGTATAGTTTTAAAGCTCAGAGGGATAAAGCAATGTGACAGAAAAGTAGAGCTGAGACTCAAACTCAGGTTCCTTCTGACCCTATGCACTTGGAATTTAAAAGGAATGTCCTCCTTCACTCAGCTACTGTTGTGGAAAAAAGATGATAGGAACTCATGGCTGTGTGTCAGCATCCTCTTAGGCATATGTGATTCCAGGCTCAAAGACCCCTTCTGCTGTTCTATTTTGTCCTGCACAGCAGATTCAGAGACATGCTGGTTACTCCAAACTAAGCTTGTAAGATAAAAACCTTGGGGACTGGACAGATGGCTCAGTGGTTAAGAGCACTGCTCTTGCAGAGGATGCAAGTTTAATTCTCCAGATCAGCCTGAATGACAGAGTAAGATCCTCCTATCTAAAATCAGCTGTTAAGAGCACCCACTGCTTTTGCAGAGGCCCCGGGCTCCATTCTCAACACCCACATGATGGCTAACAACCATCTGTAACTCCAGTTCCAGGGGAATCCAAAGCCCTCTTCTTATCTCTGAGGGCACTGCATGACACAGGTGCACTTATACATGTGCAGGCACTATACTCATATACATAAAAATATAAGTAATAAATAAAATATTTTTAAAAGCCTCATAAGGGGTTGTGTGATTACTAGGAGAACTTTAGTTAATGCATCATCCAGCTGGACAATGCAAAGAAAAACAAGCATTTTGATTGGTTGATCATCTTTGCTAGAGCCCTTTCAAACTCAAACCAGAAATCCACATCACTATATGTACACTTTTCTCAGTACACTGGCTATGTCCTGCCTTGTGTAAAAGTGAGTTTTCTGTGGTCATATCCATTGTGCTGATGAAGAGTCTGAAGATGGAGTTTTTGCATTATACTGTTCTTCATTGGGAAAAATGGGAAGGTATAACTAAATTAATTCACCAATGAATGTGGGCGATAGTTATAACTTATGCTAATTGCTGTTGACTTTACTGACTTCTTTCTATTAATTTATTCATGGAGAAGATGTTATATTTGTCAATATCTAAAGGAACACTTCCGTTGGATTGATGACGTAGTGAATGGGATTAAGACTTGGTTGTATAGTATGGCTTCTTTGACAAAGAAGTTATTACCTGAAAGACTGAAAGATGCATGAGGAGGGTTTAAGCAGTCAGTTAAAAATTCCAAAATTGGAAGTGTCCCTGGGAGCCAGTCTGGACAGCATCACCTTTTGCATCTTTAACATGAATGAAGTCTAAAGTCCTTAAGGGAGATTTTTCAAAAGGGGATAGTGGGCTGGGGATGTAGTTTGGTTGGTAGAGTGCTTGCCTAGCATGCAGGAAGCCTGGGACTTGATCCTCAGTACAGCATAAACCTGGTATGATGATGTTTGTCTGTCATCCTAGCACTGAGGAGGCACAGGCAGCAGGATCAGGAGTTCAAGGTCATCCTCAGCCTGGGCTACTTGACACCCTGTCTCGAAATAGATAGATAAATAAATAGATTGGAAGTAAACCAGAGAAAACAAGAAGGGAGGAGAGAGGAGGAAGGGGAGGGGATGCTATCACTGTGAAAATTCATACATTACTTAAGCTAAGAAAACTTTTCATTCACTATTACTTCTATTGTTCATTATTAAAAACAAAATTTTTTTCTTGAAAGAGAGAAAATACTATTTTCTACATAAGTCTTCTGTCATGAGCTTGTAGAACAACATTTCTATAAAGAACAGTTGTCAATCTTGAAGAGAACCCGAAGGCGTCACAGATTCGTCACAGTAAGTTGGTTTCTTGTCTGACAGTAACTCTGCTGTCTGGCAAACTCTCTTGAGAGAGATTTGAAAATGGCTCACAGATCCTTATAAGGATCTTGTTGGCTGAGAATAACAAAAGCATTTTGCTGTCCTCAGGCAGGTGAACAGCCTCAGTTTCCTACAATGCTGAAAACAGAGCTCCTTACCAGGTGGCCCCTACCCAGTGTCCTTAACTTTATATTCTTATTCCTAGATCTTTGACCTGAACTTTGGACAAATAAAAATTGCAAGGAAGAAACATTACCAATAGCACACTGAAAAAAAGTGACTCCTGTCCCCAAATATTTGAATATTTACTGATACATAAAATGAAGGCATTATGATGGCTCAGGGGTCATTTATCTGAGTGCATTTATAGCCACATGTCATACTGGGCCTACAGAAGGACTACAGTGGACATTCTGGTGGTCAGATAGCAGCTTGCTACCCCTTGGGATAAGTGCAGAGACAAGAAATCCCCAGGCATATGCTGCCAAGACATGGAGGGTCTCCCTTCCTGCCCCCTCCCCTCTTTTTCCCTCTTCTTCTCTCCCCTCCATTCTCTTCTCTTCTTCTCCTCCCCTCTCCTGGAATTTCAATTTCTTGGGAATCAGAGCACTTGGGAATTAGAGACTTGATGCAGATTCTCTGACCTTACTTAGACACTGGATAATAGCAGGCATCTCCAGTCTTAATGCACCAATGAAGTGCATTAGAAAATGAGAGTACAATGCACATGGAAGGGCACAACTGCCCAGTTTTGAAGAATAAGAGACTGCAGAGAGTGTATCCCTGGATAGGGCTCCTGTACTGATCCTCACCCACCCACCATTCAGGGACCATTCCATTCAGGGGCCATTAAGGAAGAGGAGGTAGAAAGATTGTAAGAGCCAGGGCTAGTTCATGAATGCAGGGAAGCAGAGACCTTCAGGCTACTGGAAGCTTGCACATGTGAAATTGTGGCAATGGTGGCATTGAGCACAGGACCCATGCCAACTCAATTAAACAAGGGCCCAGGAGGAGG